CTCTCACACACACACACACACACACACACACACACACACACACACACACACACACACACACACACGCATACATAGTGATATGCTTACATTATCTGTCACTGTTTTTTGACATTTGAGCCCTCACTTACATATCATGGGGATAACTGTGCAATATTTTATGTCAACTGTAGTCAGTCACAAAAACTATGACTGATTCACTGAGATAAAAGACACACTAAAGACATTTGAAAAAAAGGGTGTGGTGGTAACTGGTGGCCAGTTTGCCTCTCATTGTTTAAGATTTTGTTCTCCCCCTGGTTTAATGTTTTTAACACTTTTAAGATTAAATCACCCTCATATGCTTTCTATGTGGGCCTTACTAAAAATAGACTGAGGGACAGGGTGGCTAAATATAAGTATGCCGATTTGAATGACCCTGTGGCCAAAACACTGCCTGGAAGCAGATCATGTTACTTGCTGGTCAAACAAAATCCTTCTAGAAGTACCTTAAATTACATACAGTCGTGGTGAAAATAGAGTACACCGTCTATCATCTCTATTATTGTGCATATCAGAACAAAAAAATCTGAGATGAACAACAGCATACAACATATTATGCTATGTTCTTAAAGCCAAAATGCAGAAGCGTCATGTTAAAAGTGACATAAACCCCTTGATTTAGTAGAAGCACCTTTAGCAGCAATAACTTGAAGTATGACTTCAGTAGTCTCGCACATCGTTGAGGAGGAATTTTGCTCTACTCTTCTTTACGACGTTGTTTGAACTCATTTGTTCTCGGAAGCTCCCACCAAACCATTTGAATCAATCTGAGGTCTAACATTTTGACTGGCCCATTGCAGTAACTTGATTCTTTTCTTTTTCAGTCATTCTGTTGTAGATTTGCTGCTTTGTTTGGGATCATTGTCCTGTTGCATGACCCAAGTTTTAGCTGTTGGACAGATAGCTTTATATGTGGCTCTAGTGGAGTTTGGTATACAGAGGAGTTCATGGTCAACTCCATGACTGCAAGCTGCTCGTTTCCTCTGGCTGCATATCATCACGCCTCAAACACAGTGCTTGGCAGTTGATATGAAAGTGTTTGTACTGATGTGCTGTGTTTGGTTGCTGTGTGTTATGGCCAAACGTCTCCACGTTGTTTTCATCTGTCCAAAGGACATTTTTCCAGATGTTTTGTGGTTTGTTCAGATGCAACTTTTTAAACTTAAGCATTGCTGCCATTTTCTTTCTAGAGAGAAGAGCATTTCTCCTGGAAACCCTTCTAAACGAGTTCGTTTTTTTCCTAATTGAATCATCATGAACTTTCACATTTATCGTGCTGAGGCCTGTAACCGGTCTGACCTTGAGGTGAATGTGTTTGGAAGTTCATTCCTGGGAAGACTGGCAACTGTCATGAATGCTTTCCACTCGAATGCTCCAGACCGGCAAGCTGGCAAAGGTTCTGCCTTTATGGAGGTCCTTACATTTGTTGATCATCAGTTAATCAGGCGATTTTTGAATTGATTGACAGCATCTGGCCTCTTTTAGCAGCACCATATCAGCTGCACATTGCTGCTAATACGGAAGAAGTAAGGGTGTAGTTTTTGTCTTTGTCGTACTGTTTCTGCATTTTTGGCTTAGTTTTTGTAAGACACAGTCTGTTGTGTTATATTTTGTTCTTCTGTTCTTGAAAGACCAGGTTATTTTTTACTGTGACCTGAAAGGTAAAACCTTAGAATTGACAGAGGGTCTACTTTCTTTTTACCATGACTATAAATATCCATACACTCATCATTTGTCCACCTGTCCTGGTCTTCACTGTTATGTGCTGGACACTGACACTCATGCATACAACTTGGATTTATCCCCAGAACTGACCCGTCCTTCATGTTTCTGCAGGATGTGGATCTGAGGAAAACGGTGGATGAGAGCGCCCGCATCCAGAGGGCTTACTGCCACTACTTTGACCTGACCATCATTAACGACAACCTGGATAAGGCCTTCGAGACGTTACAGGCAGCTGTGGACAAACTGTGCAGTGAACCCCAGTGGGTCCCAGTGAACTGGGTATACTGAGGACTAGCACCACTCGTTACACTGTCCAGTCTACGTGGGCCTCAGTGACCCACCAACATGTATGCGTGTATGTGTGCGTGTGCTTGTGATCACAAAGGCCAAAGAAGACGAAGGGCAGAGATACTACTGCAAGTAATCAATGAAATCTCATCGCTCTTTCTCCTCTCGGGCCTGCAACTTTTTTCTACTCGAAACTCAAAGGGAAAGAGTGCTTATTTATTTTATAACTTTTTATGAAAGATCTTTCTATTCAGTGTGGGATTACGGTGAGAATGAAACAAACCAACCATGAGAAAAAAGAAAGAAAGTCGTGTCACGTGCTCGGGCCATACTTTTTTGCATTAATTTATTGTTGTAGTGTCGCTTTGTAGTCGTTTTCCTTCATTTTTAAATACTTCTATCAGTCTTCCCTCGCTGACACGGAGGATTCACGGTCGCCACCCGAACTCCAAAACAAAGACGAGGACAAGGCGATCGATGACAAGAACTTGAAGCCGTCATTGTCCAAGAAATCTCACGGTGTGGCACATGTTGAACATCATTGCTCTGTTTTCTTTTCACCTTCATTTACTTGAATCCTTAATGTTATTTTTTTAATGTCGTCGGCCCCAAAATCCTCAATCGGTTTTCTCCATGAGCGAGGGGCTAAAAAGCTCATCCGGTATATAAAAGAAAAACAATGTTATGACGTACTTTTTAAAAGATCAAACACCATGTCTGTTCATTTTCTCTAGTTTTGTTTTGTTTTTGCTATTTTTTAATCAGCGTGATGATTAGTAGAGTGTAGCATTCAATCGTTTGCTTCTGTCGTCTGTTTGTCTGCAGTATGAGTGTCACAGTGTCACTGGCCATCATCTTTACCTGCTACAATGTGTTAATGTTTTATTTTTTGTGAATGTGGCTCAAACCCACTCGCTCCTTAATGATCCTCATCTTCAGTGTTGCGGTTATGCCAAAGCCCTTGTGATCATGCTCTGAATCAAATATTAAATTCACAGTTCTTAAATCAGATACAGAATTGAGAAAAACCTGAAATCTGTCCTGGACTTCGTGACTTCAGGATAAAATGAGTATTAAATCACTTTAGGTGGATATTCGTTGCAATGTACAGTGAATACCATTTCAAAATGCTGAGGGTATTCTGTGACAGCCCTGCTGCCTGTTCAAGTGTTTCCACATCAACCTCATGTCTTCTTTTTACATTTTTATCAGCAAACTTGTGATGAATAAAATTTGATAAACCTCATAAACTAGTTTCTTGTTAAATTATGTGTGCAACATTTCCATTTATACCTCGTAAGATTCATTTCCGTCAAATCCAGACACACAAAAACAAAATATCAGACCTCAATACTTTGAAAAAAACTGCATTCAAGCAAAGTCATTGTGTCTAAAAACAACATGTAAACGTATTTGTGTTAGTAACCTCATACAAAGCGGATGCTTTATTAAGTACACCTCTTCTTCAAATGTTTATTGCAAATGTCTAATCAGCCAATCAACTCAGTGCGTTTAGGTGCATAGACATGGGCTTGTTGATTTGATGAAGAGAATGATCAGACTCCTAGCTGATAGGAATGCAACAGTAACTCAAAAAAACACTTATTCCAATGAAGGTGTGCAGAAGAGCATCTCTGAATGCAGTACGCTGAAACTTGAAGCAGATGGGCTACAGCAGCAGAAGACCACACCAGGTGCCACTCATGTCAGCTCAGAACAGGAAACTGGGGTTACAATTCTCACAGGATCATCAAAATTGGACAACAGACAACTGGAAACATTTCTTCTGCAACATTCAGATAGTAGGACCAGAAAAAACACTACTGCATGAATCCATCCTGCGTCTCAATGGTTCAGACTGTTGGTGTAATGGTGTGGAGGATATGTTGTTGGCACAGTTTGGGCTCAGATATGAGTCTATGTACATTTCTAGCCTTAGCTGCTGTATAGTGGATCTTTTGGAATGAGGAGTTTCATTAATTTACTGTTACTATTAGAAAGTATAAAAAATAGGAAAAAATGCCCTGCAAATTAATTATGACCTATAAATTTGTACTTAATAAATGACAAACTATTATAAGTTTAAGAAACGGTTTGTTTTCTGCAATTTGTCGTTTGACACAAACAAGAAGAGGAGCAGCAGCGCCCCCTGCAGTTTGTGTAAGTGAAAAAGCTTACAGCACCTGGTATTCCCAGGCGGTCTCCCATCCAAGTACTGACCAGGCCCGACCCTGCTTAGCTTCCGAGATCAGACGTGTTCAGGGTGGTATGGCCGTAAGCGAAAGACGTGCACACAAACTGACCTTTTATACATGCCAAATACCACTTTTTTCGCCAATTAAGATTCTGAATACGTTTTCCATCCAATGATGAAACATTTATTCCTACGGTAAACTTTTCACTTCAGCATAGAAAGCTGTTTAGAGTAACACGTCACTGATCTTAGATCGGAATAGCGTGCAGTTGGCTCTTAAAATCACCGCATTTATTTAAGTAACAAAACAAACTGTTTGGAGACGATCTGCAAGACAAAAGTCTGAGAAGTGCTCCTGAAGCATTAATAAAAGGGGTGTTTGTTGTTTTGGGTATCGTTTACGGCCATACCACCCTGAACACGCCCGATCTCGTCTGATCTCGGAAGCTAAGCAGGGTCGGGCCTGGTCAGTACTTGGATGGGAGACCGCCTGGGAATACCAGGTGCTGTAAGCTTTTTCACTTACACAAACTGCAGGGGGCGCTGCTCGTCTTCAGTGGACATGTGGAGCATTTTGCTTCCTGGTCAATCGTTGAAGTTCAAGGCCCTTTAAAATGTATATTCTTTACATTCAATCTTTTTAATATAAACCATAAAATATTTATGTGAAAAATTCTGTTATCTTCATTTTTCTTGCCTTGAGTTTTAAGTTGATATTTGGGGTTCATTTCCACTGGTTTTCTTAGGACTCAAATATGATAGGGGCAGGTGTTGTGTGGGCCAGATGTGGCCCCAATTGTTACACCATCTGGCCCATAGATATTGGAGGCCGAGTAGAGGCAGCCAGACTCAAAATGAGTCAGTACCAGAAGAGCAATGCAGATACGGAGCATGATAGGGCCACACATTCATGGCCCCCTACTTATTGTGCACTTAAAAAACAACAACAACAAAACAAACAAACAAACAAACAAACAAACAAAAACAAGGCAGCCAGTTTAGATTCACACAGTTGACCTCATGCAAGAACCACCTGGAAAGGGATTTATTCTTAGACTATGAATAAAGATGTTCCATTCATTGGTTTTATTTATTATTTGGAGTGGTCCTTTCTTTTAATGCATATTGTGCTTTGATACTTTAATTAAATTAAGTAAATAAAACAATCCTGACTCAGCTGATGTGATATTTTTTGTTGTGTTGCTTGTTCTACTGGCACATAATCATCTTCACAGACAGTGTTGATAGTGTAGTCATCTTGTTTCAGTCTACAGGTATCTGTATCTTCTCCCCTCTGATGTGAACTTCTACTTCCTCTCTGGTAACAGTTCAGCAAAACTGGACAGGATATGAAAATACAGGAATGAAAACATCAAGTGACAACGCAGCAGAAAACCTTTTTCAAACATTTTTATTAATTAATGCAATTTACAGTCAAGCCAAAGAGCGAACTATATTAAGTGATACGTATTCACATTATGTCCTAACAGGGTTTACAGCATATCTTGTGTTCTGTAAGCATAATTGTTACAAAAAGAAAAAAAAAAGAAAACGTAAAAGAGAAATCAAAGCTTACAATAACAAGAACAAGGAGCTTAGCAGTGGATTTGAAACATATGAAATGAGCAAAAGACCCTCACCAGAACAGGAATGACAGCAAATTCAGTTTTGGCATGTTGTGGTTTAAATAAGGGAGTAAAAGAGATAGAGAAACTAAAATATATGCAAAATATAAGTGAGCTCAAAATGACAGGAGGAAAGGGAGGTTTGAATTCACGCGGCTTTGCAGGGCTACCTCTGCCAAGAGACTTTGGTCACTTTGCTTCTCTGTCATGGCTTATAATTATAAGAAAGAAAAGAGAAAAAAAGGAGTGTCCTGGTATTAGTTCTGAGTTTATTTTGTATCAATTTTGATTATCTTCTGTCAGAAAACAACAACAAAAAAGTTTTGTAGTCAACTGCAACTCCAGGACAGACTGTACATTCTCAGGAGGTAGATAACATGAAGTCTTAAAAGAAAGCGTGTCTAAATTGGAATCAAGCTCTTTGTCAAGTCTGTGAAACTGTAGTGCATAATTTGTTTAAGGCCAAATAGGAACCTCACTTGTAGATCTAAGGCTATTTTAAGACAAAGGGTGTCAGGGTGGAGGAGGGAAGTGCACGGGATGGGATGGAGGGGTGGAGGACAGGGTGAGCAGATACAGCCCTTACATGTCAGTGCCTGAGTCAACAGTCGCGCTTTACCACAGCTGCTCGGTGCACGTCAACCCTTGGTTAACTGAACCCAATCTCTTTTTTTTTCCTTTTTGGCTACGCACATGCAGGGAAGATGCCCAAAAAAAAGGATAAAATAAAATAGAAAAGGACGCAGAAATGAGACGAGGAATATTCAGATTGACATTATGACTTGCATAAATGACACGTTATTTGGCCACATGGTGTAACATGTTACAAGAAGAGCTATCAGCGTGGGCACAGCCTGAAGTGACATTCAAACCTCCCTAGAGGGGAAATTTATGTTACTGGACAATATGAAGCACACTAAAAGAACAAAACAAAACAAAAAAAGGTCAATGCAGCATATATCAGGCTTATGAGGTACTTCATGAATATATAGATATATCAACGTTTTTAGAAAAGCTCCTCCGAGTCATATTATTCCTTATAATTCCTATTGATAGCATAAAATACCTCGTCAGTTTTATTCTTATTATCAGCCCAATCTCAGATGGGCCTCCTTTTTTTTTTCTTTTTTTTTCTTGAGACCGCTTTGAAAGTGCAAAACACAAATACTGATCGTTCTATGCAGCATCTACACACGAGGTTGCATGGTAGTTAAAACTTTTTTTTCTTTTTTACTTTTTATGCGGCATGACAGATTTTAGTCAAAACTTTATATTGAAAGGACTCACAAAACCCGAGAGAGAGAGAGAGAGAGAGAGCGAGAGAGAGAGCGAGAGAGAGAGATCCGACAAAAGGCACACATCAAACGAGCGCATGCTGGATGTCCTCAGTTTGGGCTAAATCGCTACGACCTGTACTCAACAACCACACACGACCTCGCGTGTGCCTTCCGTCGAATTTCAATTCTTTTTCTTTGTGTGAAGTGTATTCAGATGTGGATTTTCCCTTTGTTAATGAAAAATAATAATAATAGTAATAAAAAAAAAATAATGGCATTGAGTGTGGCGAGTACCAGATGGGGAAATCCACTCTGGATTTTATTGCAGTTTGGGTTGAAAAAATGTAGGCATGTGATAACAGTGTGGCTCTGTTCACTAAGAAGCCTTGATATTCCTAAACTTGCTGGCAAAACAAAAACTGAAAAAGAAGCTGGTTCCATAAATTGAGACTAAGTTTGTCTGATCTCACAGGCATTTGTCTTGCCAACTAAAAACCTGCCCACAGTGGACAGACTGGTTTAAAAAGAAAAAACACCAACAATCTGCAGCCCACGCTCAGGAAATTTATTGCTGTGCATACATCTTTTCCGCAAACCTTCGTCGCCACTACAAACGTCTTTTTAAAATCAACAGGTTTTGCTGGATTATCAACATGTCATGAATTAGCAATTACGATGGCACCTTTTAAAAGATCCAGACATCTTTTATAGTTAGCATTACACGTGAATGAGTCCTAGATTGTGCTTGGCTGTCTTCATCAACTCACATTAAAAACAATGAGACTCCCGATAGTAAAAAATTTGGTCCGGTAAAATGTAACCAACTAAAGCAACCAACCAGTCCATGCAGGATTACTTATTAAGGGTGAAAACCCCCCAAAACAGACAGTGCTTTGATGTGATATTGGCTTTCATTGGTTTGGTCACTACAATTTCTTCATTTTGTTGTCACTCATAAATTAGGGATAATATTAGCTAGCACCCGACACTGCTCTGAGGTAGTTTTATCCAAGTCAGTAAATAAAAAGCCAAGTCGTTCACAAGACTAAAAATGCTTGGAAAAATACAAATAAAAAATACCCACAAGTCTTGCATGATTGGATTCATATAGTTCAGCTTAATGGTGATGGCTTGGTTAAGTTCTGTAACGGCTCTCCTCAGTCTAGATCTGATTTACTACGTCATCCAGCCTAACCCTGAATAGCCACCTGGATGCAGATGTGTCACTTGTCAATGCCACAGCTGCCAGATTACTCTGTGCTTTTCTGCACCCTGCTGGTTGCCAGAGGAGCTTAGAAG